TGGACATTATTTACCTCATTTTGAATCGCCACTTCGACCAAGTGAACTTCCTTGGTTAGGCATTCTGTGTGACCATACAATTTGCCCACCGAGTATACGATGATTCTTTTGCAGCAATTCGTACTCCAGGGTTTATACAAGCCTAAGACTCGTATCACTACTTGTTAAAGGTGCTAGTTTATGTTTATACAAGCCTAAGACTCGTATCACTACTTGTTAAAGGTGCTAGTCAAGCTAATTAAGAATCTGGATCGTGCCCAAGGATGCTCGCAAGCCTACCATGCACCCGCACAAGCATCACTCTTTCCTTGAATTCAACTACAACGATTACAAAAACTGAAAGTTTGATTCCAAGTTTGCAAGCTTTTCTCTATTCTTCAGCATTTTATGTAACTAACTCCCTACCTCGAGTAATCGGAAGCGATCGCTTAGAACATCATCAATCAATTGGATATTGTTCGGTTTATCGTGGGTGAGACTGAAAGTTCTTAATAGATACCTGAATCTCTGACCACTTCCTGCAGATAAGAGAAGAGTTTCCACAAACCTTGTCAAAAAACTGAAACTGAAGTGACATTTGTCTTGATAAGTAGTGATAAATCGATACCAAATATCCAGAAATTCTCCGTGTAAAAAGTCTCCTTTAAGGCAAGCTTTTGGCACATTCAAAAGTGCCTAAATAATAGGTAAGCGCGTATAGTTTTCATTACACAGAAAGTCCATGGCATTCATAGCTATCAGAAAAAATTCCCCACCGCGTAGATTTCTAGGTAATATGGGCGATAATAGTGGGTCGTTGGAGAAACCCGAAATCCTAAATAACTGTTTCTATATAATTTCCATTCGTTGAAAATTCAATAACAGGGTGCGCTTACTCAGCTGAAAACCACCGCGAAGTGGAACTCTCACCTTTCCGGAAAGCACTCGCTGGATAATGAAACAATCCACGAGTCGAGTGCATTAGATCATCGTTGAACATCGTTACACAGCCTTTTTCTAGAAACATAAAAATTAAACGGCTCTAGACTTTTTGATATCTTCTGGACCTTGCATTTTCTTCCAAAGAAATCGAAAAGTGTCACTATCGAGCTTCGCGTTGTATGGAAGAAATCTGGCAATGTTCACATCTCCTTCTTCATCAAGTAAAGGGTAACGGAGACCTTGACAAAATAAAGATCGGCGATTGACATTAGCCTAAGTGACTTTTCTATTCTTCACCCTCTTCTATTTGTTCAGCTAATATAGGTAACAAATTCACTGCACTGTTGTCTCCAACCTAAAACTTTTCATATTTCATCCGATGTAGGAAAGGATAAACTTAGCAATATTTGTTTAAGCAGAAATAAACCAAACCTTACCTTGTTGTAGCCTTGAAATGTAAAAAATCCCATTTTTTGCATTTGTA